AAAGATGAACAAAGCGGCAGGTAAAAAGAGTTCAAGGAGCTGCATCTTGTTGATGTTGGTTTATTTGTCGTTTACTTTGTTTGTACTGTTAAACATGTTCCAGTAAAGAAAACAACGGAGTTCCTTTTGTCAGATTTTTTTTTTCTTTCTCTCCCGCGGGGGGGAATAATCGATTATTATTCACCAGGGCTGCCGAATAATCGATTTTGATCATGGTCAGTTTCTGGCAACGCTAGCTGTGACGTCAAGTTACTCCGTTCTCCGCTTGTAATTATGCCGTTACAAGCTTCAAAGTTGTATTATCATCTGAATTTGCTGAAACAAGTTTAATATTCTGAAAGCCAAGACTTTGTTTATTTGAAATCAGTTGAAAACAAACTGTAACGGACCCTGCCGTGTTATCTATGATTACTATACGCCTTTACTTCATAATGTCAGCCGGAGGGAGGGGAAGCGGCGCTGCGGAAGAGCCGAGTGCGAGTGAGAGCTGTCATCTTCCCTTTGTAAGCTTCAAAAATGTATTTATCGGGAGATTTTGGAAATAAAAGTTTCATGTTCTGAAAGCCAAGACTTTGTTTATTTAAAATCAAACAAAACACCCGAACCCCGAAAAACTATTTTTTTACACAAATCCACGTTTATTTTGAAATGAGCCGTTGCGACTTCCGACTGATTTCGATAGAGCGGGTCACATTTATGGGGAAAGATCCTAAATATGAACATTTTCTGTAACTTAACTGGTTCCATCCACTCAATGTGAAACTTGAACATGATGGGAAGCATGGGAGCAGAAATGTAGGCCCACAGCAGGTTAGAGGGAACACCCGTAGGGATGCACTGATTTAGTGGCTGAACATTAGTGTCCACCATTTTGACTGCTATCGGCCCGATAACAAAATGTGCTGATTGGCCGCTGACCTATCAGGTTAGTGCCTCCGATGATATTTAGTTAGTAGAAGCCAGACTTGGTTTTGGTTACTCTGGCATGACTTGAAACAGTAAAGGATGACACCAGCATGTGTCAAGAGTTTCTGAATCTGTGCATCCCTTCACAGCAGCCAATAGGACACTGAGCTAAACACATCTACACACCTGGTTATGGGTCTGGCTGAAGAGAGGAGAGATGAGAGACAGACTTTTGAGCTAGAAGCTAGATCGCAGGGAGTGAGAAATAGAAGACAGGTTAGACGTAAAGTCCCACTACCATAAAGGATAGAGATAGAGTGAAGAAAAAAATGTGCAGGAGCGAGGAAAGAAAAGAACAAGGGGGAAGAAATGTAGAAAATTCAGAGGGAAGACAGGTGTTATTAGACTTTAGAAAGCCATCTCATAGTTGAGCTTTTTAGTATGCTTTTTTCCTCAATCAGAAATATCTAATGTGTGGGCCTGAAAACCCACAGCATAATATGTTTCTGTAGTTAATATGACAAACAACAACACACTAACCAGTGTATTAAACCAACATCTTTGAAAAAAATGGCACCAATTACACAAAGAAAACTGAAAACCAACGACACCATGGAAATGAAAATGGCTGAAAGTAAATGAACTTGTCTCCATTAGAGATCCGTCATCACCATGTGTGTGGATTAATAACCATACAGACCTTTGCTAGGTAGTCCTCGACTCTGCTGTTGTGCCCGTCCGTTACAGGGTTAAGGAGTGAGAGCCCCAGGCCGAGACTCCTGTTCAGGGGCCCCAGTGTGGCCCCGTAGTGTAATGGTGAACCCAGAGAGCTCACGTCCAGCGTGGGCCCCCCAAGGCTTCCGTTAGCGATGCTGCTGGTGATCAGAGAGCGGCTGCGCTCGTTCAGCAGCTTGGAATTGGCTTCTGAGAGTCGACTGTTGGCCCTGTGGGGGAAAGGTCATTGATGAAATACACGTTTGCTACGGTTGGCACTATTTACGTTTGACTGCATATAGCATATCATATTCTATTTAATATTGAATAATCCATTCTTGCACAATAATATCCTGCATTATATTTGTTGCTGGAAATTTGTATTTCCACATGTATATATATGTTGTATCTTTTAACTTTTTAATGCTATTTTATTTCTATTTCTGAAATGTATTGGACTGTTTATTTCTGTGTCTTAGTTTCTCTTATGTACATTGCCTTGTGTTTTTTATACTGCTGCAACGCAAACATTTCCCAAATTGGGGCAATAAAGTACCTATCTATCTATCCATCCATCTATCTCTTTATCCATCTATCCATCTACCCATAAATAAATCCATCCATCAATCCATCTCTCTATATATCCATCTATCCATCTATCCATCCAACCATCTATCTATCTAATCAGGTCTTAAAGACTGACCCCCTACAAAACAACAGAGCAAGCTGGTCTCACCTCTCAAGTCTGGCAGCGAGGGACTTGCGGACCCGCAGCTCCTCGGAGTAGAGTTGGCGGTATCGCTCCAGCTCCGTGCGGGTGGAGTCTCTCTGGTTGAGGCTGTCATGATGGGTGGTGCGGGCCCGGTTCAATTCCCCCTCCAACTCCCGGATCTTCTGCTCCAGCTGGGAGCGCAGGTTGGTCTCATTGGCCGCTTTGATCTGATCCAACGCTTCCTGGGATGCTGCCTGGGACTGAGGAATAAACAGATACATATTACATCAGGCTTAGACTCTGTACATTTCTTTATCGAAAGACAATATGTTCATTATCAGCTTTTAACGGTCACCTATTATGCAAAATCCACTTTTTTGTGTCTTTTATACATCAACATGTGTCCCCTCTGTGTAAAGAGATTCTGAAAGTTTCAGGAAAAAAGATTCTCTCTCTCTTTTTGTCCTGATCCATTTCTATAAAAACCTGTCTGAAAATGAGCTGATCAGATTTTGGCCACTTTATGATGTCATAACGTTTTTTTGGCTTGTGTAACCATTAGCCAATCACCAACCAAGGTAAATCACCCCCCCCCCCCCCTCCTCCTTATCACCTGAATCTCCTCCTAGAGCACCATTGTGATCATTTTAACCAAATATCTCTCAGAGGGGCGTGGGGAGGGGCTCCTTATTTTCATCTAAAGAGAATCAGCACTTTTGAAACAGGGCTGAAACAGAGGGGATTATGGGATGCTACAATGATCTGTTTGGTGTTTGGAGCCAAACACTTCAAAGACATGTTTTGTATATATCTGAGACCTATAATATATTGATGAAAAACAGTATAATAGGGGACCTTTAAGAAGTAGAAGGCCATTGATGATAATAACCAATTGATATTGGCCTTTACCTGCAGGAAGACGTTGACCTGCTCCAGTTTCTGTTGGATCTCCTGACGGGCCCTCTCCTCGGCATCACGGCGGTACTGCTCCACCTGGCTCTGCTCCATCTGAGCGGCCTCCATTCGCCGTCTCAGGTCCAGCACCTCCTCCTCCAGCTGCCTCTTACTCCTCTCCAGCTGCTCGTTGCCGCGGCTCGAGCTCTTCAGGGAGGACAGCTGATCCTTCAGGTCGTCGTTCACCTTCTCCAGCTGACTGCGGCGGGACGCTTCCTTCTCCAGCTGTACCTGCAGATCGTCCACCTGGTTAGAAAAGACAGAGGCCGAGGTCTGAGGAATAACACTACGTCTAAGGGACTCAAACTTTACTATTAGAGTGCTGACGGACAAACCCTTTCTTTCATCCGGCCAATCGCCCCCTCGGCCTGGCTGTGTCTGCCCTGCTCCACCCGCAGGCTGCCCAGAGGAGAGGCAAACTCCGCTCCACCTGTGTCCTGATCCCGCAGTTTCTTCTTGGCAGTCTTCACTAAAGTACGCAACCTTAAACACATATGCACAAATAATATAAGTAAACATTAATAGAAATAAAAAAGAGAATAGCTAATACAAACCTTTCTTCTGAGGACCAGCAAACAACTTGAAATGAAGTAGCAAACTAATACAAGTGGCATACTCGAAGACCATTAGCTTGACTGCAGTGGCGAGCCGTGACTTTTATACCTAGGCCCTCTGACCCCCACCCCCTTCCCTCGAAAAAAAAAAAAGAGTTATTA